CTGCAAAAAAAAAAAAAAAAACAATAATATACAACAAATACAGTCACTCATTTCTTAGCTGAAAAACAGAGAAACATGACTTTTAGCCTATCAAGTTGTCACTCATTTCGCAAAAACTTTCAAAAATTTAATCGATCTTTTTCGCAAAAAGACTTATGTTAATACAGTCATGGCTATCTGTCAAATGCTTAGACGGTCTTAATTAAAAAAAAATGGATAGACGGTCTTTTTCATCCGAAAAAAGACCAAACTTAACGGGAAATGAAGTCCCGAAGGGACATTTTGCTGTGTATGTTGGTGAAAATGAAAAGAAGCGGTTTGTGATGCCGGTTTCGTATTTGAACCACCCTTTTGTTTCAAATTTTTTTATGCCGAGTTGAAGAGGAATTCGGGATTTTCACAATTTCTTGCAGTGAGGATTTATTCGTTGATCTAACCTCGCGCTCGAGTTAAGTCGATGGAGGCAGTGTATATAAGGAAATGTAGCTTTATATTTTTTTTAATTTGTTCTTTTTGGTTGTTGTTGTCGACTCGAGACAAAGAATGTTTTTTCATGGAAATTTGTATCCTGGGACAAAATTACAGTAGATGAATAAAATTTACTGAGCCATTTTATGGTGCAAAAAACTATATAATCTGTTTTTGAAATGTCAGTAAAAATTATCTATGGACTTGCACAATTAAACTGCATTTCCTGTTCAAGTTTTGTTACCATTTTTTCGGTTTAGTGTTAACTTGGTAAGTTTCACATTTTGAAAATGGCACTGTGCATACTAAAATGTTCAGAACTCATATTATATTACTTTGTCCTGGATACAATTGTACCCGATAAAGTATCTTCTACACTTTGTAAGAAAAAAANATAATCTCTCCTAAAACTAAAAGCTAATAACAAAGTTTTTTACTACTCTAAGACCTATTTAATCTCATTTTCCTCAACTGGGATGTAAGATCAACGAACAAATCTTCACTGCACGGAATAGTTAGTCCTCCCATAGGATGATCAAAACCAAATTCTTCTTCGGCTTGAAAAAGCAACTCTTGAAATGAAGGATGGTTCAAATACGAAACCGGAATAACAAATCTCTTCTTTTCATCATTTTCCCCAACATAAACAGCAAAGTGGCCTTTTGGGACTTCGAGTCCTTTTTCTTTCGATGTTTTCTCGGATGATAAAGAGCGTCTAAGAATGCGTTGAATGGCCATTGATTTGTTAAAAGTGGTAACTAAAGCTGAAAATGAGAATAAATAAATGAGTAAAATGATTTGAGAATTTCAAGGATTTGTTGTTGTTGTTGTTGTTGTTTGTGAGCTTAGAAATGTGTTTTGTGTGTGTGTATATATAGGTTAGCTTGTGAGTATCATAATCCTTTAGCTTATAGATTGAGTGGTTGTGAATAAAAAGTGATATGCAGTGGCTGTAATTATTTTTCTTCTTTATTTATTTTTTTTCTTTTGATAAACAAAAGCACATGAAGTACCACATGCACTTGTCCTTCAAAATCTCCAANGTCCTATGAGGTGATCTATGCTGAAAGGTGGTAGGGAATGTAAGTTCCAACAATGACAAAAATCATTCATTATGATTCTTTGAAATTTTTATCAATACTTGAAAATAAGCCTTTGTGATTCTTCATGTGCTTTTGTTTTCTGCTAGGTTTCCTTTGCCACTCAATCCATATCCTGAAGAAATTAAATTTACATTGGTAAGTTCATCTATATATACATGTGTGAATGGAATACTTCTAATCTAAAAAACAGAAACAAGCTACACTACTTATCATCTGAAAAAAGATTGAACCAAAAAAAGAATTGAGGTCCCAAAAGGTCATTTTGTTGTTTATGTTGGTGAGAATGATGAAAAAAAAAAAAAAGGCGATTTGTTCTTCCGGTCTCGTGCTTAAATCATTATTCATTTCAAGGAGATGTTTGAAGCCGAAGAAGAATTCTGTTTTCAAGCCAGAAAAGGAGATTTGTTATATATCATTATTCATCTCTGTTAATGATTGGCATATACAAAATGCGTGTGCTTGTGTTGTATCAAGTTTTATAACAAGAAGTCACCAGATATCCACTGGCTGTATCCTAAAAAATTCCAAATTAATTAATATAACCATTTTAGATTCAACTATTTATTCTTTTGCTGTCTCTCTCATTCTAAATTACAGAACCATGTGATTTTTTCATGTGCTAATGATTCGATTTAGTGTCTCGATTTGGTCATCTTGAAACCAGTGGATAATGACGTGTAACCTAATAATAGGCCCATACATGTTATATTCGACAAATCCATGTGATCCCTTATTTGCTAGTTGTTCTTTTGCCAGGTAATGATATGAATATCATGTTTATTGCAGTAGGGTCATTTGAAGGCTATGTTGCTATAGTTGGTAGCATACAATTTTTTTTCCAGTCACTCAAATTGTTTGTTGTGACTTTAAAATCTTTATAATGTTTGAAAGACAAATGCATGTGAATGTGATTCCTAGTATTTTTCCTTGGCTATTCACTTTCTATTATCCTCTCTATATATACACTACTCGTTTTTTTTTTCGATAATATCATTCAAGCTTTCTTGCTTTCATTCACTCTCACAATACTATCAAGAAAAACATCCCATTTCTACTCAGAAAAAAGGATTTAATTTAGTTTGTATACAGAAAAATGGCCATCCGTAAAATGTTGAAACGGTCTTTATCCAGTGAAAAAAGATCGGCTGAAGTTCCGAAAGGACATTTTGCTGTTTATGTTGGGGAAAACGAGAAGAAGAGATTTGTTATTCCGGTTTCGTATTTGAACCATCTTTTATTTCAAGAACTGCTTCTCCAAGCTGAAGAAGAATTCGGGTTTTATCATCCAATGGGAGGCCTTACAATTCCGTGTAGTGAGGATTTATTCATTGATCTAACCTCTCGCATGAGCTGATTTTGTGATTTGTGTACAAATTCTTTTTCCTTTTAGCAGGACACATTTTTCTTTTTCTTTTTTTTTTTCAATTTAGGTTCATTGCGAAAGAGATGTACAAAGGATTTGTACAGAAATAGTAGTGTGAATCTATATGAAAAGTTACACCAATTTTAGCAAAGGATTATCTAATTTGATTTGTTTGCTGCAATTTAATTCTATAAGTTGCTAGGCAGAGTAGATGGGATTCTTGAAAAGAAATCAAATTCCAAAACAGAACAAGAAAATGAACTAAAAACAAGAAAAAAGAGACTTAATAAGGCAGACTTTTAACATCTATATCTATCATCTATGGATTATTGTTTGTAAAATCCAAGTATTAATTTTGTAACTATTACATAGATGTGTCAGAAAAAAAAAATACATACCATATATAAATTTACAAATTAAAAGGAAATAAGATATACAGCAGATCCTTATACATACCATATACAAATTAAAGCCATTTTGAACGAGAAGATTTGTTGCTGTTGAGAAGACATAACTTTGAATTCAAAGTATATTGGGACATATTTGAAAAGAAAATAAAAAATAAAAATTTCTAGTCCATTTGTCAATGTAACACTAGGACTTACCATGGTGTGGAATATGAGCTAATAGAATAATTAATTAAACTCCATTTTTTTAGAAGCTCAAGCTCTTCTATTGTCAATCAATCTTGCTTGTGAATGGAATAACAGCCATAATTCGATTAAAAAAAAATCAATTAAATATTGCAAAAATGAGCAAGTCTTTTTCTAGTCATGTTATCAGACACAATATGCATTGTATACTTGTTTTCCCAGTGAAGAATATAAAAAAAAAAAATCATTTGAAAAATGGCACTGTGTATACTAAAATCTTCAAAAATTAATATGATATTAGTTTGCCCAGGAATTAATACAGTTTGTACCCGACAAAGTATCTTCTACACTTTGTAAGAAAAAAAAAAAAAAATACTGTCCTGAAATTAAAAGCTAACAATTAACAAAGTTTTTTACTATTCTAAGACCTATTTAATCTCATTTTCCTCAACTGGGATGTAAGATCAACGAACAAATCTTCACTGCACGGAATAGTGAGTCCTCCCATAGGATGATCGAAACCAAATTCTTCTTCGGCTTGAAAAAGCAACTCTTGAAATAAAGGATGGTTCAAATACGAAACCGGAATAACAAATCTCTTCTTTTCATCATTTTCCCCAACATAAACAGCAAAATGTCCTTTTGAGACTAAATTGACTCCTTTTTCGTTCGACCTTTTCTCGGATGATAAAGAGCGTCTAAGCATGCGTTGAATGGCCATTGGATTTGTTAAATGTAGTAACTAAAGCTGAAAATTGGGGTAAAGTATGTGGAATATTTTTTGATAATAAACAAGTGAAAGGATTTGATAATTTCAAGAATTTGTTATTGTTGTTGTTTGTGAGCTTAGAAATGTGTTTTTGTGTGTGTGTGTGTATAGATGAGCTTTTGAGTGTCATATCCCTTAAAAATATGGAAAATGCTACAATTCCGTTACGGAACCATTCCGTTGGTATTGTAACCGTTAGATCATCAAGTAACCGTCAATGATGCTGGATCTAACGGTTACAACTCCCAACGGAATGGTTCCGTAACGGGATTGTAGTCTTACCCAAAAAATATATCTTGAGTGGTTGTAAATGCAAGAGGGATATGAAGTGGCTTTGATCATTATTTCCATCTATTTTCTTTTGGAAAAACAAAAGCACATGAACTTGTCCTTCAAAGTCTTTAAGCTTTTATTGAAAGAGAATATGCATGGAAGAACATGAGAAAACACATGCACTTGTCTTTATGACTTCATTTAGAATTTATGGCAAAATCAACAATTTGTGTGATGGAAAAAAATTGTATCTTACCAACTATAACAACATAGCACTCGAACGACCCTATTGCAATAAACGCAACATACATATAATTTGTGGTGAACCACAAGGATTTATTTTCGAATCTTGATAAGAATTTCAAATGATTTTGTCAATTTGGGAACATATATACAAAACCATGATAGGACCACAATGAAATAAATATGATCAAGAATAACAGCTTACAGCTAGATGATTTTTCAACTTTTCTTCATACTTAATATGATTGTAATAACATAATAAAGAAAATATTTTAAAAATAAAATAAAACAAATTATTTATCTCTGGTATCAAAATGAAATCCGTCTAAAAAAATAAGTATATTAGCCATACCACCAAGTCAATTAGTCAACAGTTATCTAACAAGTAACAATAGACCTTACCGCACAAGATATTAAATAGCACTTGTCGCTGATAGTAGTTACAGACGTACAGTACCGTACATTCGTAGAATCCCTAATTTGAATTGGGAACCCGGTTCCGATCAATTTATTGATTTTCCCAAAATTTATATCGAAACGCAGAATGCCTCAGAAAAACGGAGCTGAACAGACCGACGCCAGCGGCTCCGTGTCAAAATCGCAGCGCCCGACAATGATTAAACCCTCGGACGAAAATGAGAAAAATGCAAGTTTTTTCATTTGTTTTTTGTTAGAATTTTTTACGTTAAATTATCTAAAAATTGCTAATCAAAGTTAAAAATTTACTTTTGCGAGTTGTTTTCTAGTACTTATACTTCAGTTTATTTTGTTTTATTAGTGTTTTGTGTGTGTTAAAGTAGAGTTCAGCTAGGAAGCCTGAAGATTCAGAAATTTGCATCCCCATTTTCTGGTAACATCGCGTTTTGGCTAGGCAAGAAAACGAGCGAGTATTTTGTTTGTTTTTCTTTTCTATGTAGGCCAACTGTTTGACGAAATGCTTGTTTAAATTTGTTTTCCCTTAATTGCAAATTTGCATCCCCATTGTCTATGGTAACATCGCGTTTTGGCTCGGCAAGAAAGCAAGCGAGTATTTGTTTGTTTTTCTTATCTATGTCCGCCAAGTGTTTGATGAAATGCTTGTTTAAAGTTATTTTCCCTTAATTTTCAATTGTTATTTTTCGATATCTTCAGGTATCAGTCGCATAAATGGACAGTTTATGTACATGGAACAACAAACGAGGACTTGGGAGTGGCTATAAAACGTGTTATTTTCGAATTTCAATAACCCCACAAGGGTCGTTAATAACCCGCCCTTTGAGATCTCGGAGTCCGGGTGGGGCGAATTTGAAATCGTCATTTCCCTTCATTTTCACAGTGATATTACGGATAAGCCAATGCACTTGTGAGTTGTTCGGTACACTTATACTTCATATGCATTTATTCGTGTAGTCTTTATATATGGTGTTTATTCGAATATGCATGATTATCTTTTCTTCTTTTTGTCCTTTTTTTACTTAGGGCATGCTTGGATACAAATATACCCGCTCAAAAGATTTTTTTTTGGTTAATCATGGTTAATTTAAAAAAGATGGTATGGTTTGTTGTTACTGAAGTTTTGAGTTAATATTAATAATTAAAGTTGATTTGATGTAAAGTATGAAAGAATATGAGTAGATGAATCGTGAATAAAGTTGATATAATGTTTAATAATGATTGATTGATATTATTTAATTATATTGATAATATTGAGAATAGTGGGGTTGAGTTGAAGTTGAGTTAGATTTTGAGTATGGATTGAGTATAGATTGAATTATTTTATATACAAACACACCCTTAGTGTGGATTTACGTTTTCTAGGCAATGACATGTTTATAGGTTCCACCACTTGAAGTTATATCCTGAGGAGGAATCGGGCCTGGGCCCGTTATCTACCAAGAAGCCCGTTATTGTGGAGTCATATGATGAGATTGTTCTTTCAGCGCCTTTTGAGGCTTTCTTTGCTCTGGTACAAAATCATCCTGCGGTTATTGTGCCTAGATTGCCCGTGAGCTTTACTCTGCCTCTTGGTGCGATTTGATGCATCTTTTTTCTTTTTGTTATTATGGGTATTTCATTATATTTTCTTCCTTGTGTATTTTTACAATGCCAGACTAATTATGTATATATATGTGTTCCCAGTTGACGATTTTGAGAAAAAGAACAGTGGTGACACTAAAAATCATTCCCTGAATCAGTGGTTTACCAATTTCTCCGAAGTGGATGTGCTATTGAAGCTTGCTACTGCACGGCAACAGGTCGATTTTATTTACTCATTTTGGTATATGCAAAGATTTATATTTGATGATATGTATTATGATTCGTGTGAATTATTATGGCGCCATTGCTCTTCATGTATAGCTGAAGCTGAAAAAAGAGAAAAAAAAAACATAAATTTAAAGAAAAAATGTGATATTTTTTTCAATTGCTATTTGTACAACATTTTGATTCTATTGGAGTTACGGCATTGATGGATTTGAATTAGTATTTATGAAGTTGGCCTGATCAGAGATGCCTAAGGTTATCGAATTTTTTCGTCAGAAAATAATTGAAGATTATAAGAAGATTATTCTATCTAGAGAATATGATTTGGTATTGGAAAGTTTGCTCCATGAACTCTGGTTTGGCACAGAACGAGAACTACTAAT